TTTTCATTATCACGGCTTGGAAGAAGCACTCTGAAGGAGAGGGATTTTCATCTCCCACGTTTTCAGTAAGACTGCTATTTTGCACTGCTTGTCACTCTGTTAGTGATGGAATACAGGTGATCACACAAGTCACTTGATTTATGCTCACCATATATTTGCATTGACTATATTGGCACCTTGGTCATTAGACACTTTGTGATATGGTTTATAATTATTAACCACTTGCCTACCAGGCACTTATACCCCCTTCCTTACCAGGCCAATTTTCAGCTTTCAGCGCTGCCGCACTTTGATTGACAATTGCGCGGTCATGCAACATTGTACCCATATGAAATTTTGATAATTTTTTTCTCACAAATAGAGCTTTCTTTTGGTGGTATTTAATCGCCACTGGGCGCTTTACTTTTTGCGCTATAAATTAAAAAATGTGCAAAAAATTTGAAAAAAAAAAAAAAAGTTTATTTGTTTCTTTTATAAAATTTTTCAAACAGGTATTTTTTCTCCTTCACTGATTTGCGTTGATGAGGCGGCACTGATGGGCACTGATAGGCGGCACTGATGGGCACTGATAGGCAGCACTAAAGGGCACTGATAGGCAGTACTAATGAGGTGGCACGGATAGGCGGCACTGATAGACAGCACTAATTAGGGGTCACGGATAGGCGGCACTGATATGCAGCACTGATAGGCGGCACTGATAGGTGACACTGATGATGGGTACTGATAGACGGCACTGACTGGCATCACTTCTGGGCACTGACTGGCGGCACTGACTGGCACAACCCCTGGGCACTGACTGGTGGCACTGACTGGCAGCACTGCTGGGCTGCACTGGTGGGTGGCACTGGTGGGCAGCACTGGTGGGTGGGCACAGGTGGGTGGCACTGGTGGGCACAGGTGGGTGGCACTGGTGGGCACAGGTGGGTGGCACTTCTGGGCACAGGTAGGTGGCACTGCAGAGTGGCACAGGTGGGGGCACTGCTGGGCACAGGTGGGGGCACTGCTGGGAACGGGTGGGCGGGGCTAGTGGGCGCACTGCTGGGCGGAACTTGCGGGTGTCACTGCTGGGCACCGATCATCAGGGCACTGATCATCAGTGCCCTGATGATCGGTGCCGATCCCCGCTCTGACAACTGCCGGTTCTCGGCAGTACTTTCCTCACGATCTGACAGCGTGAGGAAAGTGCAGCCGAGAACCGGCACTTGCATTTCCCTGTGATCAGCGTGTCATTGGACACCGCTGATCATGTGGTAAAAGGCTGGTGGGATCGGTCTTTCACCACATCACGTGATCAGCTGTGTCCGTAGGACACAGCGATCACGGAGATCGCCGGGTGCGCGCCCCCTGGGGCGCGCAGGAGAGCGCGTTCTGGGAGGACGTCATATGACGTCCACTCAGAACTGGCCGGCCGCGGTGAAGCCGTCATTCGGCTATGCGCGGTCGGCAAGAGGTTAATATCTTGGATTTAGCGCCGCATCTTTTATACTTTGAGTTTTGCAAGGTTATTTGGTATCCTTTTTGATGCTGTGGCTGCTTCTTTGTTTTTAGCGCTCACAATTTTTATTAGAGTGGGAGGAATAGTGCTCCATCATTGGTGTCAGTGTGGGAGGAATAGTGCCCCATCATTGGTGTCAGTGTGGGAGGAATAGTGCCCCATCATTGATATCAGTGGAGGAGAATAGTGCCCCATCTTTGGTGTCAGTGGGAGGAATAGTACCCCATCGTTGGTGTCAGTGGGAGGAATAGTTCCCCCATTATTGGTGTCAGTGGGGGGGAATAGTGCCCCATCATTGGTGTCAGTGTGGGAGGAATAGTGTCCCAACATTGGTGTCAGTGTGGGAGGAATAGTGCCCCATCAGCTTGGCTCAGTATACTGTATATACCGCACATCCAGCAGGCTGACAGATTAATCTGTCATAGGGACATTTGTTTTGAGCCAGCTTGGCTCAGCACGGTATACTGTGTGTACAGTATTACCACACATCCATCCAGTTTGACCCAAACAAACTGAAGGTTCACATTTTATACCCCGCGTATAAGACGACCCCCAATTTGTGGGGTATATTTTTAAGTATAAAAAGTAGTCTTATACCCCAGAAAATACTGTATGTTGTGTTCCAGAATAATTTTTGAAAAATTGTATTGATTTTATGTTATCATCTCAATTTACAAAACAATTTCACTGATATAGTCAATATCTATTATGCTACATAAAACAGATGTATCATTTTGGTTGATGTGTTAGGATTAACTAGCTGCCGACCGCAGATAGCCGAATGACGGCTACACTGCGGCCGGCCAGTTCTGAGTGGACGTCATAAGACGTCCTCCCAGAACACGCTCTCCTGCGCGCCCCAGGGGGCGCGCACCCGGCGATCTCCGTGATCGCTGTGTCCTACGGACACAGCTGATCACGTGATGTGGTAAAAGGCCAATCACAGCAGCCTTTTACCACGTGATCAGCGGTGTCCAATGACACGCTGATCAGACGGAAATGCAAGTGCCGGTTCGTGGCTGCACTTTCCTCACGCTGTCATATCGTGAGGAAAGTACTGCCGAGAACCGGCAGTTGTCAGAGCGGGGATCGGCACCGATCATCAGGGCACTGATGATCAGTGCCCTGATGATCGGTGCCCAGCAGTGCCACCCGCAAGTTCCGCCCACCTGTGCCTAGCAGTGCGCCCACTAGCTCCGCCCACCTGTGCCCAGCAGATCACCCACCTGTGTCCAGCAGTGCACCCACCTGTGCCCAGCAGTGCACCCACCTGTGCCACTCTGCAGTGTCACACACCTGTGCCCAGAAGTGCCACCTACCTGTGCCCAGCAGTGCCACCCACCTGTGCCCACCCACCTGTGCCCACCAGTGCCACCCACCAGTGCTGCCCACCAGTGCAGCCCAGCAGTGCTGCCAGTCAGTGTCGCCAGTCAGTGCCCTGGGGTTGTGCCAGTCAGTGCCGCCAGTCAGTCTAACTATGGCGGCGGCGGCGGAGAGCTCGTGGTAGGAGCTCCCGCACGAGGCCCCTCCGACCTACCCCCCCTTGGACCTCAACATTCCCCCCATGGAGAGGGAGCACTAGAAGGCAGAGACCTTCCTTGACCGGGGGACTTACTGGCTCCTGTGGCTACCCGCGGTGAGGGGAGTTGAGAGCGGAGACCGGCGGAGAGAGGCGGGGACGCTGAGCCTGGACGCCGAGCCTGGTTGCCGGGAAACAGGGAGGCGCGGCTGGGACACGTGACCGGCCGCGGTGCATCCCTGGGAGGCAAGGTAGCCGGCCGCCCGGCCGGAGGCTGACAGAGAGCAGGAGAGATCCCCGTTCTGTCGGACGACCTGCTATCCCTGGAGCCTTGGCAGGGGATCAATGGTGAGCCTGCCCAACAATCCAACAAAGTAGAAGAGTGTGGAGGAAAAGTCCTGGAGGGTCCCCCTGAAAGGAAGAGAGCTGATCTATCGAGAGAGATGGAGAGTGGAGCCTGAAGCTGTCTCACAAGAAGCGCAGGAAGGGTGAGTGAGTCTGGCGGTGGCCCCAAATATTAAAAAAAAAAAAAACTGTATAGAGCTGGGAGAAAGAGAAAAGGGGGGGACCCCCAGAGAATAATAATAAAATAAGGAGAAGAGCGCAAGGTGTAGCCAAAAGGCGTACAGAAAGGTGGGAAGACAGAGCTGGGAATTCTACCTCTATATCTTATCAGTATCCCTGTTTCTGTAAAGTATAAGTCTATGAGAAGAAAATAAAAGTTACAGAAGAAATGAAAAATAAAAGTACAAAAGGAACCGGGCCTAAGGGGACCCAAATGGGACAATTAAAAAGTATACATCCCAGGGAAATGTGACCCCAGAAAGGCCCCAGAGCAGAAATGATAGAGAGTCTGATTTAAGTATGCAAAATAGTCCTAAACAATCACTGGAATTGGATATCAGTAATCAGCAAATATCAGAGACAGAAAAAGACCTACAAATCCCAAATAAAAAAGAGATGACAGAAATGTTTAAAGATCTGGAGAGAACAATAAAGCAAGAAATGGTAAATATTCGGAATGACCTGGGGCAGCTGTTGTTAAGGGTGGAAGAAACGGAGCAGAAAGTTGAAAATCAGAACCAGATTATTTCCGAATTAGAGAAGAGGATAATTAATATGGAAAAAACTCAGGAAAAATTGCAGTACAAGGCGGAAATCCAAGAGAATAGAGAAAGAAGGAGAAACATAAGGATAAGAGGGATACCGGAAAGTTTAAAAGGAGAAATATTGGAAGAGATGGTCTGCAAAATTCTGAACTATATAATGGAAAATTCTGAAATGGAAAGGACTAATATAGAAAGAATCTCTAGAAATGGGAAACTCCAGGGAAATTATGAGAAGGACAGGCCGAGAGACATACTTGTAAAATTCTATGAAGTACAGCAAAGGGAAAGACTCTGGAGGAAAACTAAGGGAAAATCAGCTATAAAGTATGGAGAAATGGATATTCAAATATATGCGGACTTGTCACTAGAGACTCTCCGGAGGAGGAGAACTTTGAGGCCTTTGCTGGAGCAGATGAAAAAACAGAAGGTGCAATATAGATGGGGAGTTCCGGAGAGTTTAATAGGATGGAAAAATGGAATAACAGCCCAATTGAGGTTCCCAGAGGACTTGAGAAATTTTTGTGATAGACTTGAAATGCAGAAAATTGAAATAAACGGTTGGGAAGAAGATTCTGGGGGAAATAGATTAAAAAAAGAGGGGAGGGGTGGAGGGGGGTGGAGGGGGGGGGGGGAGGGGGGGGAGGGTGAGTGAGTGAAGAGGAGAGAATTTTTTTTTTTTTTTTCTCTCTATCCTTGCTCCCATCCCGTTGCCTTTTTTTTCTCCCTTGTCCCTTCAGCCTGACTCCTTTCTTTTCCTTTCTCAGAAAGTACAAGTAGAGAGGAGGTCAAGGGGGGGATTTGGAGGGAGGGGAGGCCGTCCATGGGAGGAGTAAAGCCCTGAGGATTAAGTCAAAGGTGGATACTGCCTCCACAGATGACGGTTAGGCAAAGTGAAGGCCTAAAAAGAGGGGGGGGGGGGGGGGGGGGGGGGGGGGGGGGGGGGGGGGGGGGGGGGGGGGGGGGAGGGAGGGAGGGAGTAGATTGAGGGGCGCATGGAGAGAGGGGGGGAGGGAAAAGGGGAGAGAAAAGGGTAGAGGGATAAAAACGCTCCATAGGAATAAGAAAGAAGAAGGAAAGGAGGAAGAAGGAGACGGTAGAAAAAGAGTAAGATGGAAGAAATCCAATATATAACCTATAATGTAAAAGGGTTAAGTTGTCCAGGAAAGAGATTCAGGTTATTTAAAGAACTCCAACATAGAAAATCCTCAGTGGTATTCCTGCAGGAAACACATCTAGAGATGGAGTCGAAGGTTAGACTGAGGACTAGATATTTTCCAACATGGTTCTATGCGGATTCACCAACTAAAAGAGCAAAAGGAGTTGCTATAGGATTCGCAAAGAATATAAGGTTTGAGCTGGAGGAGAGATTAACAGATCTGGAGGGAAGGTTTTTTGTTTTTGAGAGGTAAATTACAGGGAATTGAGTGTACAATAGCAAACATATACAGCCCAAATAAGAAGCCGGAGAGGTTTATGAGAGAAGTGTTGAGGAGATTGATGGATTTTAAAAGTGGATGCATGATAGTAGCGGGCGACCTAAAACATCTGTATGGACCCGCGGATGGACACCACTTCCTCTGTGAGGAGGGAGGAAAGCAAATCTTTGAGAATGTTAAAGAAATTGATGCATGAGTGTCAGCTGGTAGACATCTGGAAGAATTAGGAATATGAAGGAGAGAGATTATACTTTCTTTTCGCACGTTCATGAGACTTATTCTAGACTAGATTATATATTAGTAGAACATCGAATGATAGAGCTGGTAGTAGAAGTAAAAATTGAAGGAAGTACCCTGTCAGATCACGCCCCAGTTGCAATGAAGTTGAGATGGGGTAGAGAAAGGAGAGAAGGTTATGTATGGCGGTTGAATGAGGCACTTCTCATGGAGGAAGAGATTGGTCAAAGAATTGAGAGGGAAATTGAATGGTTTTTTGGAGAGAATGAAACAGAGGGTGTCTCGGTTGCAACGGTGTGGGAAGCTCATAAAGTTTATATCAGAGGTCTACTCATTGCAATGGGAGCAAAAAAGAAAAAAGAAAGAAGAGAAAAGATAAATAGATTATTAAATGAAATATATGATCTTGAACAAGTGCATAAAAGGGAAAGATCTAAGGAGATAATGCAGATGTTAATAAAGAAGAAAGAAGAATTAGAGAATGTAATGGAGGAGGAAAAAAAGAAGAATCTTTAATAAAATAACAAGTGAAAGATATAGATGGGGAGACAGGCCGGGAAAGTATTTAATGAGAACTTTAAGAAAAAAGAAAAATAGAAATTATATAGAGAAAATAAGAAATCCCAAGGGGGAATTTGTACATTCAACCAAGGATATTGCTAGAACATTTAAAGAATATTATAATGAGCTGTATAATATTATACCCCAGGATACGTTTAAGAAAATCGAAACAGTAAATAGAGGGGAAAGAAAGAAATATCTAGAGGAGGCAGGCCTACCGAAAATTAGAGAAACACAACTGAACTCTTTAGAGGCAGAAATAACTTCAGAGGAAATAAAAATAGCATTAGAAAGCATGGCGGGAGGGAAAAGCCCAGGTCCGGATGGATATACGGCCAAATACTATAAAAAATATAAAGAGCTTTTAATACCTAAAATGAAGACCTATATGAATGCCTTGGGGAATGGGATGGAGATGAGGGGAGAGTCTTTACAGGCGAATATAGTATTGATACAGAAGGAGGATAAAGACCCCTCGCAATGTGCGAGTTACCGCCCAATAGCGCTGCTGAATGTAGACACTAAAATATATGCAAAGGTTCTGGCAAATAGACTGAAAGAGCTGATGCCTGAGTGGATACATGGAGATCAGGTGGGGTTTGTCTCGGGAAGAGAGGGTAGAGATAATGCTTTGAGATCATTGTTGCTTATACAGGAGGGCAAAAAAGGGAAAACCCCAATGATACTGATGTCGATAGACGCTGAGAAGGCATTCGACAGAGTGAGTTGGGGTTTTATGATGGATACTCTGGAAGCATTAGGAATGGGAGATAGAATGAGAGGGTGGATTAGTGAGTTGTACAGAGGGGCCTACCGCTACCATAATGGTAAATGGAGGAAGATCAGAGTACTTTAAGATGTCAAATGGTACAAGACAGGGATGCCCATTGTCTCCATTGCTATATGTGTTATCACTGGAGCCCTTGCTGTCCATGATTAGGAGGAATATAGACATAAAAGGAATAAAGATAGGTGATAGAGAACACAAGGTAGTGGCTTATGCGGACGATCTGATGTTTTATGTAGGAAACCCTAGAACATCACTTCCAAATTTAATGAAAGCATTGAGGGAGTACGGAGACCTGTCAAACCTAAAAATTAACCCGACAAAGACCGAAATCTTAAACATAAATCTCAAAAATAGTGAAAAAGAAAAACTACAAGAGGAATTCCCTTTCCTTTGGAGAGATAAAGAATTAAAATATCTAGGAATAAA